TACGGACTCTTTCACTCCGTTGGCGATCTACAAAAATTGTTTAAACGAGTTTCAACGTGGTGACACCTTGTTTAAAAAAAAAAGCGAACACATGCGCCGAAAACGGCTTTCTCGTGGGAGGAAGGAATCACGTATCTAGAGGCCACCCAAAGAAGTTGCTTCAGACAGATGAAAACAAGTGGTTGACCTTTCAAAATGCTGTTTTGCATTTGCTTCCTTTGTACGACAAGCACCGTGACACCATTTCACAACGGTGTTTGATGGTAGAGTCCGAAAGAGTTTCTACTTCGTTTCGAGACCGTCGACGAAACATGGAACCAATGGTACACTTCAGAAACTTAGGAACCTTCAAAAAAGTAGGCCATACTTCTTTCTTTCGAACTCTTCCACCATGACAACGAACTGACTCATACATATGTTGCCACCACAGCGATATTGACCGAATTACAAAGATATTTCAACCGCTGCGACTTCTTTTTGTTTCCAAACTTAAAAAAATCACACGCTGGGCAGAAGTAAGCTGAGTAAAATTAGAAGCTCTTCTTCTCCAGAACGACAACAATGATTAGGTGCAACAATAATAAAGCCAATAAACTATTTATACTTGTATATTCATTGGAATATTTTTAAATACAGATATTGGATCATAAAAAATTTTACTTCGATTTATATTCGAACTAATAAACATTTGTAGACGCTAGTATCGTACCTTACGCGCCTCACCACTGTAGCCGAATCCTCGATTCGAGAGAAAAAATTTTAGAAATAAGCAAAAAATAGCTAAATTTGTTTATTCAAAACTTAGATAACGGCGAATCGAACAAACGATAAAACTAAATAGACTGTCATAATGACATGCCAAAATGAAGAGAGAGAAAAGGTAGAGCTACCTCTTCATACAATAATCCAAAATACCTAAATAGAAAAGAGAGCAACCACTTAAATGATCATTTTATAATAGTTTCTATTGAATTCAATAGATAATTTATGTTAATTTTTCAAATAAAATTTGGAGAAAAGCGCTTAAATGAAGGACTAACTCAAAAAAAATAGTCTACTTATCGTACTTTCTGCGAAATATATTCTACAGTTCAAATTAGGGGTTTATTTATGGAATAGAAAATTAACATAATTTATTTCTTAAAAGCATACCGCTGCTATTAAGACAGAATAATCCATAGTTTGCTGCTGTTTTGTGGAATGGCATATACATATATACACTTCAGCAAAACATTTCGACACTATTTGTTGTAAAAATACCTTCAGAAAATGCATAAAATCGTTCATTATTGCTAAATCTATTGTGCTTATATTTTATCCCAAGCGATTTTCTTTCTTCTAAACCCTAACATCTTCAAGCAGCTATAACCGTTCAGTTTCGCCTACAAAAATAAATGCAAATATATTGCTTACATACTGACTAGTTTGCGTGTAGCTCCAAGCAATTTTACCTGTCTACTCCTTCAGCTCTCACTCTTCGTTACACTCCCTACCTTGGCCTTTCCCGCAGCCGAGTTACTTGCGCATACAAAAATCAATATATTTCTTTATTTAGCGCTTCAATACGCACACTGTTCAAGCAGCATATTGCGTCTGTAATGGATATTTATAACCTGGTAGTTGCTTGGGAGTATTGTAGAACCGGCGTTGGGTTGCTCATGCATAATTTGAGACTGCACCAACTACAGCCGGTTGAGTGCGAGTGCCCTAGGGCTTGTATTGGCTACAAATCCATTACACTTTGGCGTCATTAAACGTCGGCTCCTTTGACATTTAGGAAAAGTGATATTCAATTATTTATGCATACAAATATTGGGAAAAAGGATAACTAAGTGGTTAGATGACTGCCAGACTGAGTAGCAATGGAGTCTTGATCGCATGTGAGTAGCAGTGATTTGTTATTTTAGCTTGAGTGAAATGTATATCATATGTATGCTTTGTCGTTTTCCGCCTCACTGGGTGTTTGACCAAGGTTATCCTTCTATGTTTTGTAAGTGTCCAGATATCCTAAGTGGCTCAAAGGTGTGGGAAGAAACTTTTTAGGTCATCACTCTGAGAGTTTCGGAATGGTAAAATGCGGGTTGACTCAAATACCCGCTACTTACAATTGGCATGAATTAATAGCGGCCCAATTTTTGCTGAAAATTTATATATGGTATAATATTTGAGATTTTGAAGAACTGCAACAAAATTAGTTAAGGCTACGAAATTCCGTTACGCCTCGTTTAGTAAAACACTATTCAATTAAATTATTTTTATTAATATTCAGAGAGTTTATACAAAAGTTAATAATGTTGCCATCTGTTGACTACTTAAAATTAAACATAGTTATAGGATATAGATTCAACCAAATAAAGTTGCTGACTCGTTTTTCAATGCTTTGAGGTCTAGGTTTTGAGGCTGATCCAAAAACATATTCATCAAAAGACCTTGTTAAAATATTTATAATTAATTTCAGAGCTTTATTAAGCACATAAGCAAACACTACTCACTAAATTTTATAAAGAAAAACTATTAACGGAAATCGCCGTGGAGCTTAAAAATTAAGGAAATTGTGGTTAAAATTTTTGCATCACAAAAAGGGACAACGAAAAACACTAGCCCAAAACCTTCCTAAAATAAGAAACCAAAAGAAGTACACCGACACCTACACCCACACACCCGCATACCTCCCGCAAACACACACTTGTCCAGTTAGCTAACGAAGTTTGCCAGCGACTACAAATAACAAATGCTATTAAAGCAGGCTATAAAAAGTTTCTCGCATCTATCACCAAAGGAGTCCCAAAGCACTCACAAAATAGCAGCAACAAAAATAAACAAGAAACAAGTTTTCGCAACTAACACAAAACGGTAAAAGTGTGCGAAGTGAAGCGGAACGCCGAAAGGGCAAGGAAAAAACGTAATGCTTCATTAAGCCAAACAATAAAGAGATTGTTTTCGACAGAAAATTTTTCTATGCTCTGCTTTAGTGGCGCGTTTTTTCGCATACACTGTAGGTGGACGGCTTGAATATTTTATTCGTCATTGAGCGCAGCGCCGAGTGCGATTCAATGGTGTAAAGAGACTGTTGGTAAGTGGTTGGGACGTTAAGGTGACTTGAATGCAAGTGCGTGTGTGTGCAAGTGACTGTATGTGGGTGCGAAATTACCAGCTGATGTAAAAGCAAATTCACAGTCGGTAAATGTAATGAATAAATTTGCTCGCTTGACAACTTCTTAGAAGTTGTACTTTTTAGGTTCGACTGATTTTTGTTGCCTGTTCATTTTGTTTTTTCAAAATTATAAAAAATTTCAGAAGAAACTCATGTACATGGAGTTTAAGTGACGAAGTTAAAAAAAAATTACTTTAATAACAGTTGAACGCGTTTGAAATTAAAGAAAATCATTATAGAATCTTCATATGGTACTAGAACCAAATAAAATAGAACTTCGAAAATAAATATAAAATAATATAAATTTTTGGAAAAGCTTGACGACGAGGTACAGAATCAAATAGGAACTAGTAGAGTTAAATGTAACTATAAAGCGAAAGAAGACGCCCGAAATCCGAAGATATCGCCGTATCTAGTAATAGTTCATATACAATGTTTATGGTTTAAGAATTGACATTTTATAAAATTTTGTAGAAGTAATAAGATAAAATGAATAACTGCATTAATCATAACCCAGATGCTCCCTGACAATTAAATCACTTTGTAGCCTTCCCACCATTGAACAACAAATGGTAGATCGTGCAGGCAATGTAGTGAAAAATTAAAACATATCATAGTTATTGCAAAATATTTGGAAAAGAACAGAGGGAGATTTAGATTTTAAAAGATATCTACCGAATTAGCTAACAACAAAAAAATTACAGAAATAGATAGAGAATATAAAGATAGACAATGAAAAATAAAAAGATATGAGAGATAGCGAATATAGAGATAGACAACGATAAATATAGAAAAAGATATATCGTGAGATATTATATTTTGACTAACAAAAGTGTGCTATTTTGAAAACAGGAAAAAGTGAATTTCGTTTCTAGAGGTAACACTATACCAAAAAGTGGTTTAACAAATATAATATTTTTCGGCCTCTTCCCAAGCGAAATAGCCATTCGCAAGTGTTTTGCCGAATTCTGTAAAAGTCATTTGAGCGCCGAAAACAATGAACTAATTGCAAACCCAAAGAGCTCGGTTCAAAATGAGTTGATGATTTTTGGCGAATAGATGGCACAATCATTTCACTCCGGAGTCTAAGCGGGGATGATCCAAGTGTTTGGAATGCAATTAAAACGATGGCTAAATTATACGAATTTGGCTTCAAATTGATTTCGCATCCATCCTATTGTCCGGATCTTGACTCCAGCGACTTTTAGCTATCCTTAGACCCCGACTGAGTCTAATTTTGAAAGAACGTAGCACTCTGATAATCTAAACTAAAGTCTAAAACAACAATGGAAACGTTCTCTTCCAAAACGTGGCAATATAAGAAAATTATTTTAGATATTTGTATTATGAAATCTTTTAAACACAACTACACCCATATCCTCTTCTTTAAAAATATTCCACAAACATTTCAGTATGATAATTATTTATCTTATAGATTTTTTACCTCTTGCCATTGCCTTACCTCTTGGTATTGAACTCGCTTATTCAAAAAAATCAAATTTGGAAAAGTTTAAATTTGTATTTTGTAGTGTGATTTTCAAAATATGTTTAATTAATATTAAGAAATCAATCTGTGGCAGCTACATTTCATTTTAAGTGATCTAATTAATATCCTTTCTTAACAAAGGTTTAAAAATTCTTTGTGGAAACGCTCACCACTTCCGATGCCCCTCTAAATAAAAATTTACATGACTATATCTACAAACTTTCTTAATAAAAACCATTGTGGTGATTTCAAGCCCAACAAATTTTTTCCAAAACGAGGCAGTTTGCCTTATATAAGTATAGCTCTACAAGTTCATAAAAATATATGAGATATATGCAGACATAATAAGTCTCCACTCACCGCTACGCTTCTGTATGTTGTTGGCCATATGTCCGTAGAGGCGACTCAAATCGATGGCGTCCACTTTATCAGTGGCGAGCAACAATTGCAGCAACAAAATAATGGCCAGCGGCCAGTAACGCGCCAAAGGCGAACGCGGACGCCGCATGTTGCTTTGCGGCTGCTGATGGTATCGATGCTGTTCGTGCCACATCATTGAAAGCGACGCTAGTGGCGTTGACATGCTGCTGCGGGCGAAGCTCTGGTCTCTATTTATACTGTTTTTAAAGCGCTGCTCTTATTTTAGCACACAGCGGGTAAACAAATTTCACCAAAATTAAGTCGGAATTCGTGTAATGTGTAACGCTGTCAATTTAATCTTGACGCTAACACGTGAGGGGCGCAAAAGTACACACACATACAGTTTCGCACACCAAAATGTTTGGAGTTAAAGCTAGATGCTTATTTCTGCAACCTTCACTTCACACACTTACACACACAAACGGTTTTCTGTTCTTTTATTCACTTTTTTGTTTTTATTTTTTTGGGTTTTTACAAAATGGTTTTTGTTCTTCTTGCAGCAACTTGCTTTAACTTTTCACACGCGCCAAGTTAACTTAGTACTTTTCCCAGTCGAATCACCCACTTTGTATTTGTTTTTGCGATTTGTTGTTTTTCGAATGTTGCCTGTCTACACTTGCAGCACACGTCAGCGGGACCGTTATTATTTTCGGTTGATTCTCCACAATTGCTGTTTCTTCTGTTGCTTTATGTACTCCGCTAACTGCCAGGAATGCCAAATGTTCCTTTGCTCCGGCAATCACTTTGTTTCTGCCTCTAATCAGCGTCGAAAATCAGGCTTTGCGTGCTTCCGAAATGGCGCACACTTAATCTTGGTATTTGATACACCGCTGATTTCGCGTCACTTCCTTCCCAGCAAACGCTTTGTCGCGCGCACTAGTTGTTCTTGCTTTCTCCTGTGCTACTTTACTGATTGTTGTTGCTTCTTTCCGTCAATTCTTTTGTTTCTTATGGTTTTCTTTGCTTTCTCAACAACTTTTAAATTATTGGAGTTTATCGCTCTAAAAAGTATGCTACAACAAAATGTGTTCCAGTTGTTATTTAACTTGTGGACAATACGAGTATACCGCTAAGCTTCGTTTTCGTTTGTATATTTACTGCTACAATGCCTTCACAAGCATTAAGAATTAAATTAAGGTTTCGTTATGTATGTAAAATCTTTTTTCGAATGCACGCAAATTATATGCATTTACATTGTTCTACTCTGTAAGGAGATTGGAAGAGAGAAAAAGAGTTAAATGTATTATAATTATTTTTTGTAATTTAATTTCAACTTGTGCTGTGTATTTTTGCGAAATTTTTTAATTATTTAACTTGAATCAAGCTTAATACAGTCAATTAGCTTTTAATGTATCATTTAGCTAATGTACTAAAATTTACTAAATTAAGAAGCCTTTTAATGTTCTTATAACGCTCAACTTTTCTGTGCTTTAATATTAAATTGCGCCTAAATATCTGCAATACAACAAAAAGTAAAACAGTTACGCCGCATTTTAACAGGCAATGTACATTGCTAAGCATCTGCCAAATACATTGCCATTGAGGTTGGCAATGTTCTTGTGTGGGCATTTGCTATCTTGAAATAATCATTCGCGAAATGGCGTCGGGTTGGATATGTTCGAGCTGATGTAGCACATGTTTGAGCTCTTGCAGCGTTTAAAAATTTTATAAAGAAAACTGAATTAACAGTGTAAAGTTAGCAAGTATTAACTTTTTAAATGTGCATAAACGATATCAGGTCTAACTGAGGGACATCAACCGTTTGAAGCTAGTTTGGCGCCCTTGGTTTGATTAAAAGACATCACGCTATATTTAAAATTTTTTTTTTACTCATGGCTTTCCTTTCGTACTGACTTGACTCTTAAAGCATTAAGTTTCCCAAAATTTAAAAAAAAATTAAATATAATTATGTAGATTTGTGTGAGAAGAATATTTGTTTTCCAATTAAGTTTTATAGAGGAAGATATGTTAACAGTGCTAAGTCACTAGTTCGTATTTTAATTAGTAAACCCAACATCTAATTTCTCATCCTTTATTTTAATTTAATTAAACGCATACCGCTATGCACCTTGACTTGCACACCCTGCGCTAGTAAAAACAAGAACAAAACCACCACTAAGCATAAACACCCGGCAGTGTTTTGCTGCTTAACTAAATACCCGCAACGGTGTGTGAGCGTGTGTTTGTGAATATTTTTATCTAGTAATTTATTTAATGTTTCTACTAAAAAGCAATGTTGTAATAACAACAACTAGGAGCCAAGCATGAAAACCACCACTAACCAAGGAAAATAAACACATATTTATGTTCCGAGGCACACACATACGAACATTAGCTAGTTGAAAAATTATTGTATGTATGCGTGTGTGTGAATATGTGTATTCTGTGTTTTTCCTGCTGCTTTGCAGCGTTGACTTCATTGGAGCAATTCATATGTACAAACATAAGCTTAAAGTAGTACCCCTGCACTTAGTCATGTGTTTATGCACATGTTGTTGTATGTACCGTTACTTGTTACGAGCAAAAAACTCTTTAATTATTTAAAAGTTGTATTCCACTGACCAGATAAGCGAAAACATGTGTATGGAAAAGTATATCAAGCCATAAACGTGATCATTTTTAGAACTGAACTTGTGGAACACTTTCATTAACCGTTGCGCGCGTTGTCTTTGTGCATGCATTTGTGTGTTTTCGAATGATATACTTGTACTTTAGACACTGAGTCGGGCATAAAGTTTTCACGACCCTTTCATGCTTTGAATACATATTAAGATATGCCCGAAAAGGATACGCACCCATAAAGCTTAGCTGAGCATGTGGCTCTAAAGCCGGAAACTAAAGCAAACTTTTCAAACCGAAAAACAAAAATTCATACGATGCAACCCTATTTAAGCTTTGTATTGCTGTTTTTTTGGTTTATTTATTTTGCCACATAATCAGCCGGTTAGATCTTTCTTACTGTAAGCCTTTTATTTCACCACCATTGCACATCTAATCTAACAACCAAACTCACTTAAATGAGTTAGCCAGCTTATTGCTTTAGGCAGTTGTGCTTTTATTTACTTTCAACTGATAGCCTTAGTATAAAGTTTGTGTTTACTAATTGGCTAGTTGACTAAAAGTCTACTCTGGTGCGAATGACTGATTCAATGAAATTTTTAGTAAATATACAGGATATACAAGCATCATTGATTTAAAAAGAAGTTCACAGAAATTCCGCACGGAAAATATATTGCCACGAAATAAATTCTGTTATGTAGTCATGAAAATAACACTTGGATACTGAACCACCAATATTGCGATGGAAACGGCGATAACTCGATCATAGGTTAGGTAAGGTCCGGAAACACGCTTAGACCACAATATAATATGAAAAAAAGTATTTAACTTCTTGTTTCACAACATCACAAACCAAAGCTTCGAAAAAAAGTTTTCCAAAAGTGGTTATTCAAAAAAATACTTTCGTCATTTTTTTTTATTAATTTTATTCATTATAAAAACATTTGGCCGAAGTCAACAAACCAAACGGAGATAGAGTTTAGAATATATATGTCATCAAACAGAGTTTTGAAATGGAAAAATATCAATCGTTTATCCAAAATACTCACTTTCACGAGGAACGGTCGAATTGTGTCGTACAAAAGTAAAGCGATGCTATCGTCAAGAGAGTACAGGCCTTTTTAAAGATTAAGTTGTGTACGAACACTTAGAAATTATATCTAAAATGCACATTTAAATTATTATTATTTTTAGTTGTCTAAACTAATATTACAAAATATGTATAACCTGATAAGAAAATCACTACAAAAAGTCAAGATACAGATTGACAAAAAAACATGTTAACTAGTCTCCAATTTTCATCAACTGTGAAGCAGTCTGTTTTACGCCTTTGCTTGAGGATTAATTAGGCTCTGTAGAAATAGTAGCGATTTCTCTCTTAATTTTTCTTCGTTTTGCCTCAAGAGAAAGTAATTAGAAAATATGCACACAAACAAAGATATTGATATAAGGTAACAACAAACAAACTACGACATGTATACATAGTAGGGTGGGTCAAAACACCGATTATTTTTTTCACTTTATACTCTGAAAAATTAATTGGTAGACACCCAAAAACGAATTCTCTCCAAATATGAGCTCTTTATATTAATAGAGAGTTCCTCCGCTTTTCCGTTTCAAATTTATTCCTTATTATTTGAAAAAAAAATTCATACCTCTAATTGAAAAAATTATATACTCTCCTTACGGTATCTAACAACCAATTCAGAGTATAAAGTGAAAAAAATAGTAGATTTCTTTAACACACCCTAAAACATATTATATATTATATATTACATAAATAAGTATGTTTACGCATTGAAGGCTAGCTAAAATGAGGTGCTTTCACTAGATATTTGTTTATTATATTAATTGGCAGCCAGGTTAAATAAAGCGAATAAATTTACGAGCAAACACAAGGACACACACAAAATAAGGACACCCTGCTCAATTAGGAATACATCCGGTTGAGGTAAAAACCAAAAAAAAAAACGAAAGAGTAAGGGAAATGCAATTAATTTCTATGGTGACAAGGAAAAACCTAACAATATAAAGCAGAACCGGTAGAGAACAAGGCATTTATTGATAGTCAGCAAGCCTTGGAGGAATACAAATATGTTTCATATAGAGATTACAATAGTTTCGTCTGTTCTTTTTATACCCTGAATAGGGTATATTAAGTTTGCCACGAAGTTTGTAACACCCAGAAGGAAACGTTGGAGACCACATAAAATATAAATAAATGATCAGCATGATAAACTGAGTTGATTTAGTCATGTCCGTCTGTCTGTATATATACAAACTAGTTTCTCAGTTTTTAAGCTATCGATCTGAAGTTTTGCACCTGTCCTTTTCTCACTAAGAAGCTGCTCATTTGTCTGAACGGCCGATATCGGACCATATAGCATATAGCGGTCATACAAATTGAATGATCGGAATCAAGTTGTTGTAAGGAACCTTTGTATTTGTTTACAGGAGAAGTGTGAGGTGGAAACATCCAGGCATCTGCACCATCATTCTCCAACTGAGGTTTAAACATCTAGGCATTCGTACTTTCGGCGAACCAGAAGACATAGCCGAAACTACACAGTTTTGATAAGCTCAAAGCGCTTTGTCGATTTGTGAGAGTCTTATGATCCATGATATAGACTTGAAATTGTTGGGATGTAAGAAAATTTAACTGGGGCTTTGAAGGGGTTCCTTACCGGGCACAAGTGTTTTCCTCTTCAACCAGGCAACGTACTTTGTGATTAAATATAGAATATCCAGGTTTTCGAAAAAAAAACTTAAATTTAAAAATAATATAGGTTCGGTCATCAGCAAAGAAATATCAATTGATTAATTTTATTTGAGCACAAGAGTCATAATTAAGCAAATAATCATCTTAATAAAGATAAGAATTAATTCGTTATTTGCATGAATCAAAACTTTGAAAAACTTCCTAAAAATTTCCAAATGCCTTAAGCATTATTATTTTAATTTTATTAATTCGCGCTCACTCAGCACAAAATTGTATAATAATGCGAGTTGGAACATCAATACTAGAGCTAGAGTACATAAATTAGAGAGCGGCAGATTTTCAACAGAGCAAAGACGTAACGGTAAATCCACATAAACTTAACACCTCAGCAGCATTTTTAATGCCATGAGTTATTTTCAAAAATGCAAATGTTCAACAACAACAAATAGGGCTACGAAAACAAAAAAAAAAACAGAATAACACAAAATAGAGATGGAAATAGAAACAGATACCATTACAGCGCGCACTATCAGCGACTATTGGCAGTACTCGCCTTAAAGTAAACGAAATCAAAAATCAAAATGGAAATGAAAACCGCAACTGAGCCGACGGCAAACAGAACAATAACATAACAAAACCACAACAAAGAAAGCAATACACAGTGTAAACAGTAAAATAGAATTTTGAAATTCAAATGAGTTATGTCGAGTTGAGATAGAGCGCAGGTGAACAAACAAAAGGGCCACGAAAGTTCACATAGCAACAGTTGCAGTCGAATCGAACCTGTGTGTGTGTGAGTGGCGGGAGAAATAGAAAAGCTTGCCGACGCCACATCAAGGACAACTCAAAACCCATAAATTCACACGCCATAGACTTAAGCGGAAATGAAGTCATACACGCACACACACACACTCAGAAAAGGCTGTAAAATAATAGCTTCAAAGCAGAAAGCACAAAGAGAAAACCACAAATGCCACAAGCATAATTTTTGCACAACTTCGCCATATATACTTGTAAGACGCGTTACACTGTGCTATTTGTAGCGGTACACCAGTTTACGTTAAACATTGAAAATACAAAATTTGCAATTTAAGCGATACGACGACAGACGGAGGTCGTACAAAATGGCAAATCAAAATTCTTAACAAACACCAAAGCGACCCTTAAATGCTAAATAGCACAACAACAACAACAACAACAGATGTATCGAGGACGCGACAAAAGCACAGCTTCAGATGATTTAAGAATCCCTGGAACGTGTGTCGTGTGTGTGAATTTCCAAAAATTTTTGTGCTGCGTCAGTCAAATGAGGTCCTGAATAAGTCCAGTGGCGTAAATGTTATGAGTGTCTCAATCAAATGAATTAAATTGAACAGCGTTGTGTATATATATGGAAATTGGCTGAGACCGCGCTCTGCAGCTCTCAAATGTTTTTGATTTGTTTAATTTCGCTTGAAAGGACCTATAAAGTCCTAAAGAGTTTTATTGACTTTTTATTGATATAAAGAGCTGACTTGTGATGGCTTCTTGGAAGAATTTACAGGACTTACCAACAAAGGCTCAAGAAACTTTAGTTCTAGCCAAAGTTAAAATATAAAAATACTCTTCGGGATCTTCTAAGAGTAGCATAACCAATGCTTTCAGGGCTTTTGTGGGTTCCAGGAAATGAGAAAACAGAATAGTTAGAATTCAAAGAGGCGGCTGGTATAGTAATCAACACTGACTGCCACTTGCTTTTAAGGCTTCAAAATTAATATAAAGTAGGACTGTAGGAATAGTAATATAAGTAACTCACGTTTAAAGTCTAGCTTAGGCAATCCTTTCATTTCAGAACAAGCAATAGACAGCGGTTGAAACGATAATAAACAAGCGGCAAAGCTTCTTATAACCTTAGAACCAGAAACATGGTTTTTGCCTTTATTATCATAAATTTTCAAGTTAATATTAATAATAATAATAGTTTTGGAGATACAGCTTTGAGAAATATTGCGCTCGAGGTCAGCTATATGGTCACTTCAAACTTTACACGGGTTTTTCTCGGAACTTTGTTTATAAAGTCGGTTGTCAAAAGTTCTCGAAAACTACTCAAACCGATCTTGATGAAATTTTATACAGGTGTTTGAGATATTATTACAATTATTTTTGTTTATTTTTATTAACATAATATTATATTACAACTATTTTAAAAAAAGAAATGTCGAGCAAATTTTACCGAAATTTTCATTTTGTTGGAAAAATGTCTGCCTAAATTCCACTTTTACCTTTTTTTACTTCATTTAAGCACGAGTTTATGGTCTTAACTAAAACACATATTTTTTTTTCATGTTAGATGATCCTGTCAGGAGTTATGCTGATAACGGTGGCGCACCTTTTTTTTCGAAGGGTCACCGGAAATGACGTTATAATGGCGGAGTTTTAATTTTTTTTATGGAAAATCTCAGAAATTATTCTTTAAATGTGTATCTTTAGGACAGAAAAAAGTTTGAATTAAATAAAAAGTTTTTTATACAGAAAAAACATATTGAAAATAGTTCTTTTTTACCCGACGAAACCCATCCAACCCTTTAATGTAACTACTCCAATGTCATATAGTCCTAACATTACCATCATAAAATCAAATTTACTGAGCCACCAGAATGCGAAAAATTGGTAGGGTGGTTAATATTACGTAGCTACCTTTTTGCCAATCAATACAATATGAAGCAAACACGATAAAGCTAAAAGATTTTTTTACTTTAAAATTACTTATTTATAACTGAAAAAATTAAATGATTAACAAGAAAAAAAGTTAACTGATATTTAATCGAAGTATGCACCTTTCACAAATAAAAAAAAGTTCCATAAAATAATTTTATTTTGATTGGTCAGTTTGTATACCAACTATATACTTTAATGGTCCAATCTGAACAATATATTCGAAGATTTAAGAGTTTACTTGGACAATAAACCATGTAAAATTTCGTAAAGATATCTTGTACAATTAAAATATTTTACATACATGATGGACATGATTTTGATCGATTAGTTTTTAGCGCCTAAAAGTAGGCAAACTTTGCATACATTTTTGAACACCATAACATTATTAAGGCATACTCTATATCACATTTAATCGAATTCTCACACACTTTTCTAATACTGCAGACATAAGTTATTTGGAGAAGATTAAATGACATTTTTAAAATCAGATTTTAATTCAAAATGACAAGTGCTATCCCGAAACTTTTTAGATCCACGAGCAGTATAATGATCGCATTAATCGCTACAAATTGAACACCGTATTTTTCAACCAAATTCCAATTTTAATTTTTCATTATATAAGAATGACATTTATATTTTCTTCCACGCTATCTTTTGAACGCAGTAAAATGTCACTAAACGCACATTACATTTCTTTAAACTGTGACCACTAAAATGCATAGAATTACAAATGTTCATACCATCAGAAAACAATCAAATTAGATTGTTAAACTACGTGCGTAGCTGAAGATTTATTTGGTAGCGCGCCAAAAAGTAGGCAATGATTTATTAAACTGCCTTCCAGGCGGTCAAACAGAACACTTTGCTATCTTTTTTAAGGGCCACTGTCATTTTGCAATAACGCACAGCTGAATTTATGAGCTGATCGGTTGTTATTTATGTGTGCACTGAGTGTGCGTGGACCATACACGAGCTACTAAAAGTATGCCAACAAAAGCAAACAGTGTTGCAAATAAGCGTAGCGCTAATAAACCGCTAAATGATTGGTGGTGCTTTAATGGCATGCAATTATGAGAAAGCGATTTCGTTTGATGGCTACGCTAACTAGTTGGCGCTATGGAGATGGTACCTTTAATTATTGGTTTTTTAATTTTAGTGACAGAAATGTGTATGAAAAAGTCTTTCATACGTTTGCGCCCTATTGTCGGCCAAATAGTAAAAGAATGTGCTGATCATAATAAGAGAGCATATCTAAACCATTCTTGTAAGGGTAAATATTGAGAGTTATGTTAATTGTTAAGCTTAAGATGATATATATTTTATAAAATGAAATAAAGCAAAATTCAGAACAATAAATGTTGCAGGGAATACAAGTATTCATAAGCTAAAACAGTCATAAAGTAAGTCTGTAAGTGCATGGCCACAGTTTTGCCTAAATTTTCAGCTCATATGTTAGATAGAAGTAGCGCGCATTAAATTCATAATTAAAATATTTCATATTTGGATCAGACGTAGCGATAGCAAGACGAAGACTCATACCACGCCTGGGATTCCACCAGGGACGTGCACGCTGAGCTGGCATAAATTGTTCACTTCCATCGTTCAACAACGCAAAATTCTTCTGCTTCTGCAGTTTTGTCAAGTCGGAGATGTTTATCATAACACACAAACAACCGATGATCATAAGTCAATATCGCTGAAAACATGTCCAATCTGTGACTTGGTTCCATATTTCTAACAGAGTCCACAAAAGCCACATCAAAGAAAATATATTGGAAACACTAATTCTTCACAGAGGACTTATTTTGTTCAATTTCAAAGCGATCTAAGACTCTTTAAAATATTTTAGAGTTTTTTTTGAGTTTCAAGCAGTCTGACTTCGGCAAGATAATGGAAACCTTTTTTTTTCATTATATGCAAAAGAAGACATTTCTCAAATATTAAATTAATATTATTTTTATGAAACCTTCACCATGAAAAAAATCGACAACACTGTCTGAACACATCCCTTTCTTACTTGTTTTCATTACTTGTATGCCAGTGTCAACAAGACGCTTCCCCAGAGACTTTACTTCAATTTGCTTTTAAAAGGACATGCAATATTTTTTATGCCCAACGTTTTCCTGTCACTCTCCCATTCCCCAACACGTTTGTATGCGTCAACAGTAGTATAACAGTAATTTCTGTGTCTGTTTATTTATCTGCTTTTCAACGAACTATACCTCAAAGCGGTTAAGATAACCATTATTATTCATACTTGCAATTCATACCCATCCCCTTTATCTACAACCAAGCACACATTTTGTTTGTTTTGAATGGCTTCTTTGTTATTTTTGTATGTTATGTCTTTCTTGGCTTTTATTTGTTATTACACATTTTACGGCTGCCACCACGAGTACAGCTTGTGGCAAGAAACATAAGCACATCAAAGTAGAAAGAGACAGAAAAAAGTTGTTTGTTTCTTTTCGTTTAAAAGTGTAACTGTAAAATTCGGCTAATTTGATTTAAACATAAAACCACTCGTCCAGCACTACACTTCAACATAAACACCACAATAGCAATAACAACAAGAAGAACAACAACTTCCTGTTTCGTTAGTTTACTTTAAACTGCTACTACTTTAAAAATATGTATGTATTTGTGTGTGTAAATATGTAATTTTGTATAACTGTAAAATATTTAAGTTATTTCTTTACTAGCAAAGAAACTACACTACACAAGCAACTACTGTACGTTTGAGTACGAGCCAACAACTCGTAATCGCAACTCCACTTGAGTGTAAGTTTCAAACTCGACTGATTCGTTGGAAGCTTTTCGCTATCCTTAATATACTAACTGAGTAATGTATAAAAATTCGACGACTGGTACGGCTCGTACACGAAGTAGCAGGTGGCTGCACGAGAGAGTGTATGTAGCGTTGCACTTAATGACATTGGAGAGGGACTAATAAGAGAGTAGCTGTGAAAATGTTGCCATATCAACTTATAAGCAACTTAAATAGAGCCATTGCTTGATAGAAAAAGAGCTTAAAATCAAACAATATTACAGTAAAGGAACTATTGGAGAATACTTGATTTCTCCCTAGAGAAAATAAAAACTCCTTGTACTAAGGAAGGTACAAAGACGGCGCAGATAAAAGAATCTCCTTAGACTGACCAAAGTCTTAAGGAATCATAGGACAATAATATATTTTTAGTGTACCAGATCATCTTATATGACATCTAGTGAACGTCGTGGATACTAAGGAGAATAATCTTTAAAACAGAAAATTCTTTACGGTTAACTAGTAGCTAAGAAGAGTGCTAGGTCTTCAAATATGTGAATCCGATTTTATGCATCGTCTTTATCTCTCTTATAATGTAGAGAGTCAAGAATTCAATGAGGTATCAGAGCACTTTCTGAACAACAGTAGCAAAACAAGAGACTAATCCTTAGAGATCGGCTATAATTCATTCCGAAAAGGAATCCAGGTGTTACTAAATAAGTAAAAAAGTACCAACGATTTAAAGAGTATTGTTCTTAAACTATCCATAAAAAGATGTATTTATATCTTTGATTTATAATACATTTATTGATACCTTAAATTTAGATTAGCTTTTTAATAAAGCTACATGAATATTTGAAGAAACACTCTATTGGAAGTTTTCCAAAAGCTTTCTTCAATAAATTGATTTTTTCGTTGGCTGTATGGCATGTAGCGCCACCTTGTTGGAACTACAGGTCGTCCACATCAACATCTTCCAACTCAGGCACGAAAAAATCTTTAATAATAGCTCTATAGCATACCCCACTGACTGTAATATTATGAACAGCTTCATTTTTGAAGAAATGTGGATCAATGATTCTTGCTGCCTTTAGAGCACACAAAACAGTGACTTTTTGAGGATGTACACGGCATCTCAACAAATTTTTTTGTAAAAGTCGGGATCGGTGGCGTATAGAATTATGAATGCTCTCAATAATATGATATACTTGTAGGTGTCATCATGTCTACCGGCTATAACAGCGGCAGCTTTGGTTAGAGACTTGCAATTTGTGAAAGCCTTTTATTGTAGGATAATAGCAACACATACTTTGGAAAAGGTGAGGGGTGAAGGAACTCAAAGTTCTAAATTATATATTATAAATAAATTTCATGTGGCAACACTTAAAAATTATTATTACAGAGTATAACAGAGTTAAAAACATCGCCTATAGAAAGCAGTCCTTAGTCTCATATACTTACTTACAATTGCCTCTCTCACTTATTTCGCCCTCTCTCTCTCTCCCTGTACGTTTTTGCAATATTTTTGACTTATAATCTTCAGTTTGTGAGTACAACAGTACTGATTCGGTGACGATGGTAATGAACGATTTTTACAGCCAACGCAAATTATGCATCATAATGTAGACATTTTTATGAGTATTGAAATAGTTTTAAAACTAAATTGACTTCACTTTTTGAATTATTTAAAATTCTGATATTATTTATTTTCAAAAATATTCCTAATCAGCAGATTTTAGAACATCTTTTTGGACATTTTCCATATGTATCGATTTCAAAAGTACGATTATGCGGAAAGTCAAACATAAATAATCAATTTTCGAAATTTCTCAGTTCTATTAAGATTAGCAAAATGTATTATCTTATAGGTATATTTTTTAAAATTCAATATTTTTACCTTTGTATTCCCTCTAGTTTGACACTTATGTATATAAATGACCAGCATGATGAGCTGAGCCGATTTAGCCATGTCCGTCTCTCCGTCTGTCTACCATATATATACGCGAACTAGTCCCTCGGTTTTTGAGATATCGATCTGAAATTTAGCACATGTCCTTTTTTCCACAAGAAGTTCCATAAGATCTTTCTGAAATTTTGGAACGGATTATTGTCTTAGTCAACGGTACAATTTTCAAAGAAATCGGACTATTATAGAATATAGCTGCAAAACAAACTAAGAGTTTCAAATCAAACTCTTGTTAGTATTATAGCTTTACCTAATTTCTTAGCATCGTTTATTATTTTCGATTATTCGTTGGAATAGATTCTGACGCAACATTTTCAAACTTTTATTTTTTTTTTCAAACCTAATATTTTCATAGAGGATAAGGAAATCCTATGTAAAATCATTATCGTTATATTGTGCACATTAACTTATATCTATAGTAGCCCAATAATGATTACCAGGTTTAAAGAAAAACCTTAAGGTGCACCTAGCGAAATATTTTCGATGTTAAATAATTTTTATTAATTTTCGAATTAGATTTTGAAATTTAAAAAAATTGTTCAAAAAAATTATTCCAAACACATTAAATATATATATATATATAGTGACTCAATATTTTTTTTTAATATATAATATAATATTACATGTAGATTATTTAAAATACAAGGAGGTTATTTAAAAAGGCTGTGTAAGCGAGAAACGACACAACGGGACACAAGTGAGCTTAAAATTGTTGGAAAAGAATCTTTAAGACTTATAATAAATAGGTTTGTAGTTCTACAAAGGTACGAGCATGCTATTTAAGGATTGTAACACTTTCAGCATTTTCAACAATAAATGGTTTAAAAACATTCTAAGCTTTAATACGTTTATTTTAGACCTACAAAATGCCATAGTCTCTGTGACTAAGCTTGATCTAAACCACTTTCCACACAAAGCGTATTGCGGAAAATTTATGCAAATTTTGCCATTTAACACTGAACAGTAGGTACTCTGCAATAAAAACTAAATACCCACCATAGAAATGACGGTAATGGCAAATTCCAAATGCCACAAACCAGGCAACATCACAAAAGCATTCTAAATTAGTGGGAGAAAAAAAAATTATTGCGACAACAACTGTGGCATTCAGTAACCAATTGACAGGGAGCTGAGCATAAGTTAAGCCTGTAAACCAACACATCTGGCGGCAACAAATAACAAGCACCCACACGCTAACGGTATTTACGCAAATGAACACGACATTAAGCTAACTGTGCATGGCACCAACACGCATGTACCCATACATACATAAGAACGTATGTGCGTATGCAGGCAACCAGTTGCATAGAAACTTACGCCACCCCTTCTCAGTCGCCCACACGCATTGTGTTGTGGCGGCTACTCTGATTCGCCACTGAGCGCATTTCCGCCCGCGCATTTCCAACTCACACATATGTTGTATGTGGATCTGCAATGTATACATATATATGAATGGGTGTGTGTAGCGAAAGAACCATACAAATATAACTGAAAGAAATGGCAAGTCGTAGGCGCTAACGGCAGTTGTTGGTGTGCGTGGAGTGTAATGATTTCGACTCAGGTTTTATTTTTTTGGAATGAAGTATTTTATTTATTTCGAGAGCACTCTCTGAGTTGGAGGAATGAAATTTTGTTGTAAGTAAATGACGATATTGCATATTCTTGATAGAAAGTTACAAATTTCATACATTTTAACCACTGAAGATCTCCAAGTTATGGAAGTCCTTAAGGCCCGAGTATTTTATATTGTATCAATTTTATACACCATGATTGGTATGTATAGTGAGATATTTATAACATACAGACTGTACTCTCCTTCAAACTCATACTACTATTGCTAGAATCGAGCGTTATCTCTTTGGGAAACCTAGATTCCACCACACCTTGCAACACAAAAAAAAATATATTTTCAACAGGCAATGCCCTACTCTTGAGTGTCCTTTTGTCAGAAAAACAGCTTCTCATAAAATATATTAGCCGTTGTGACGTTTTTCAGGAGAAGCCTCTAGCAACCTTATTTTTGTATATATTTCTGCGTCAGGCTCGCTTCGAAAAGCCCCCGTAAGAAACAAACATTATTTTACAACGGTATTGCTCTACTATATACCTGAAGTTTGGAATCGATTTTATATATGTACATTACAGTAAAACTATATTTGAATGAATCATTTTCGGAGTTTCTATGATTGAGTAGAACCGACACTTAACCACGAATTAAAATAATCAAAGTTATTCTATATCATATTCCGAACGACACTTAATCACAAGATTTAGGCTGTTGAATAGAATATAGCATTAATCTACTATATTCAGCAAGATTTCGTCATACAAAAATGACACTTGTTAATCTCGTCACCGAGGTGATTTGAATCTGATCTACTTGAAATCTTCCTGTGCGACTCTGGTTTAGGGCCATCTGTTTATCACATATTGTTTTATCACACTGATTTTGACACTACAAATTAAGAGCAATATCAAGAAAATTAGCGAAAATGGCAGAAAAGAACATCAAAACAAGAAACAACGTTAAATTCGGTTGCCCCGAAGCTACAACTATAATATCCTTCACAGATACAAAGGCTCCTTACAATAACTTGTTTCCGATCTAAGTTCGTGAAGATACGTCGTCAAATAAAAAAGTTTTCCATGCAAGCACTTTACTCCGATCGTTCAGTTTGTATGGCAGCTATATGCTATATTGGTCCGATATCGGCCGTTCCGATTCCAAAATTTCAGATCGATAGCTTAAAAACTGTGGGACTAGTTCGATTATGTACAGACAGACGGACATGGTTATATCAACTCATCTCGTCCTGCTGATCATTTATATATATATTTTATAGGGTCTCCGCCATTTCCTTCTGGGTGTTACAAACTTCGTGGCAAACTTAATATACCCTGTTCAGGGTATAAAAAGGAGAGGATGTCAATTAGTGTGTGTTGGCAGCTATTTGTTTGCAAAAGGTTTTTTCACACGAACATAAAAGATGCTCAACAAGCCACTTCGTATCCCAGGATCTCAATATAAGCTAAACTGTGCAGTTTTATAATAACTCCTTTGGTTATTAAAGTATTATCATCACTCGATAAATATTTAGTTTCACATCTTAACCTCACCTGTTAAAAATATATTATTGACATAATCTGCTTTTTCATCGCATATAAGAGGTTATAACCGAACAAAACGATTAAAATTTTGGAAAAATCTCAGCAAACCTTGAATTTTATTGCTGTATTCGATAAGTCAAGCCTTCGAGAGTGGCGAATCGAACAAACAACTTGTGTAAATCGCATAAGCGTAGTGAAGTGTCTCTTTCACCATCTTGTACTAAGAGAGAAGATCCCGCACAGATCAGAGAAAAGGCGTGTTAGAGATGACTAAAATATTTAATTACCGGAACAAATTATTACGGCTTTTAAAGTTCGATAACAATTCGGCAATATCTGTGATTCAGTTGATCTTCAAACTCATAACGGCTCTAAAGTTCTTCTTAAAACAGTCAATCTTTTGACTGGCACAAGTAAATAGAACAGGAAACTAAGACAGAACATTTATTAGAAGACCTAAATTTGTAAGCAAACTTACTTTAATTTCGTGGTGTTTCCAGTGAATTTCAAACTTTTTGGCCTATTTACAACCATAGACGGTCTTTATGTACAACCCACAAATTGCAATAACTGTACTTAAGTTTTAAACTTGAACTTGATCTATATTTAAACATGTTTGCATGCAGCCCACTATCAAATTCATACAACAACAGCAATTTCCATGGGTAATAATTATAATTATTAATGGCATTGCGCGCAAGGCCTTGTTTAATTATATACCTATAATACATAGCATATTAACACACACACATACTTATGTTTTATATGCAATGGTGAATTAATAAATTGTCGAAAGACATGCGGGACGATAAAAGCGGGTTGAGAGTTATCACACAGACCATATGCATGCCAAATCTCCTACGCATATGCAAATACTACATAGTGTCACATATGTATTCATATAATATTTATATAGTATATATGCTCATATATAACCTCATAACAGTAAACTACAGTGTATGTTATGAAAAACGCATTTCACGCTGTGAATTGCTGTAAATGAAACATATCCCATATGACAATGTGGACATAAATAGGTCTGTGCTGTCACAATAACGGCCGCAAATGTCAGTGAACCGTCACAGGTGAAACACTCGAAAACATGACAGCAGTTTATAGAATTTTAGACATTCACACGCAAATGTTGATGCGCATTGTGGCGGTGATAGTTTGCCAAAGCATGTGGGCAGACGTAACGGTAACCACTGAGTTTGTGGTGAGAGGGGAGGTTGTGCAACAACGGATCAATCCGTATGGAAAGGATTTACAATTACTGCTGCGAGAGCCACCTTTAAAGCATGCAAAGAGTGTGTTGCACAAAGATTTGGTGCAAGAGTTGTGGATGGAGCAGAAGCTGGATCAATTCGATATAGCGAATAACAAAACATGGTTAATGGTAAGCTTAAACACTTCTCTTGTAACGGTATATTTTCCGCTTATATATTTAATTGCATTTCTGAATTTATTAAATTTAAAGTAATTAATCCATTGTGATTCTGGCGGCCGCATTTCCAGAATTATATTTAAACAAGTGATTCGGTCAATACTCACAATCTTTTCAAAATAAGGTTGTGTTTCTGGCACGATCATGCTCATAAAGAAAGACAGGTGCTTATTTGAAAAGATTCAAACCCCTCAAAAAATCTCTCAACTCATATTTTTTACCATCATATACGCCTTCTGACCAGTGACAGGGTCTGAAGTGTCTTAACTATTGTATGGGGATATTGAGCAAGCCTATTGAAAAAAAGAATTTCTGATTCAGTAGCCCGAACTTATGATGTGAGATATGTGAACTTATTAACTTTAGGTCGACATGCTATCGTTTCAAATATAATATGTTTCAGACGTCCAAATAGAGAACTTCTCGAGATTAGATTTTATTTTACTATAAATACTTGCTATTGAAGATGGAAATAATTGAATTTAGTTCCACGGTTCACTGATAAATACTTTTTCATATTGATACTTCCTCATGTCGTCTCATGTCTAGTAATTCGGTGCTTCTTATCAATGAACATACTCCTAGTGATCGAAATGTAATTAAGATCGCCTGGCGAGACTAAGAGAACAACTAATACAATGAGAAAAAGTGAAGTTGCATTTTCATTGGTTGCAACATAAAACTTAAACTGATTCTAAGAGAAAGGTAAAATGGATATATCAGTTCATAGAAATTATAGAAACGTAAAAATTAATTTAAAAGGAGTATTCATTTTCGATTTGAATTGAAAAAATTAAATTAGGCAAAAACTAAATGGGCTCATATGCGTTACTTGCGGACATAAAGAACTTGCCACAAAAAATTGTGCACTATACAAAAATCTGATAATTTTTTAATAAAATCACTTCCATTCTTTATACAATACACACATACATATGTATATGTACTAACTGAAACTTTCTCCACTATGGTTTCAGCGTTATTTTCGCAACGAACGCTACTTCCAGCCACATGGCCCAATTTTCATATTCGTTGGGGGAGAGTGGGAGATTTCGCCAGCTTTCCTTTTGACAGGGCATATGCACGATATAGCAAGGCAACATAACGGTATGCTTTATTATGTGGAACATCGGTACTATGGGCTAAGCTGGCCTACGGAGTAAGATGCGACTATGATAAGTAAAAAATAATGATTATAACAAATATTCTTAATAGTGATGCCAGTGTGAAGAACTTAAAATACTTAAGTGCTCGTCAAGCCTTAGCGGACTTAGCTCATTTCATTCGCTACCTAAAAAGCAATGAAGACGACTTGTCCAACTCAAAAATCATACTAACGGGCGCTTCTTACTCCGGGAGTCTCGTTGCTTGGTTCGCTAAGCTATATCCAGATTTGATGGATGCTGGTTGGGCTTCGAGTGCACCAATAGTGGCTAAATTGAATTTCTTTGGTGAGTAAAATATTTGTTTGTTGTAGATCTTCGAATAGTTCTGCAAAGGATTCACCCAGTTGAACACACAGAGATCAATTCACACTATTACAACTGATGCTCTTTATGGAATACTTTCTACTTCACCGTCAGTTGGATTAAAGGCTCCATTGTAAACTACGCCATTTGATTCTCTCTAGTGTAAATACTTTCATTATTTTCAGAATACATGCAGCAAGTCGGGAAGGTTATTCAGCTACGTGGTGGTTCTGAGTGTTCCGAACTGCTTGAAAGCGGTCTTGAGGATATTGCAGCGCTACTGGAGTCCTCAAAAGCCGCTCAACTGCAAAATGCCCTGCGCATATGTAAAAATTTCGAGGCTACAAACCAACTGGACCGCGCTGCATTCTTCAATGGCTTGGGCAATTATTTTGCTACATTCGCCCAACTGTATGAGTTAGTATTAAATCAGCTGCTATCTGAGAGGTAATTTCCACTCAAAGTTTTATTTTCTTAAATGTTTAAAGCGACCAAATCGTTGCCGAAATTTGTACGCCGCTCATAGCTAACACAAATAAAGACGACTTGACGGGCTTCATGGAATTTTTGAGACGCATATTTTGGCCCGAGTTCGCGAAGCAAGCGCACGCCGAAGACTGGTGCATCGATTTGTCGTATGAGGGCATGAAGTCTATATTTGCAGATCTAACCGACCAGCTGAGTGGTAGTGAGTACACCAACTGGCGAGACAATACAAGCCGCCACTGCATCGCTAACAGCAGCAGTTGCGAAACATAATTAATATTTAAATTAATTTCCTTTCGCTTGCAGCACGTCCTTGGTTTTACCAGAGTTGCCACGAGTTCGGTTGGTTCACGACTACGACTAACAAACAGCCAACGGCCATCCGGCAGGTGACAGTTGCGCGTCGCCATGAAGAGATAACCCAGCTGCGGCATTCTTTTGGCAGTCAAGTGCCACTCAATTATTTTCAACAACTTTGTGACGATGCCTTCGACAAAAGTGCCGATACTGCAACGTACATTGACATTGACACCTCCACCAGCATTCAGCAAACAAATAGTCATTTTGGTGGTCTCACCGCTGCCGCGGCACTACAGCACCGTGTCATCTTCACTCACGGCCAGCTCGATCCCTGGCGTGCTGTTAGTCTGCAATGGGGCGAAAATGTCATTAATATAGCAGGTGAGTCGAGCATCAGCCATTCATTCAACCAGCCGCTAGGTAGTTAAAAGGCCAACAGACCTGTTGTTCATTATGTCGTCGGGAAATGTAAAATTTCGCTACGGTAATAACATATTTTAAGGCGCAAATGGTAATAATTCTTATCTGTTGCCTTTTATGAGCGCTTCAGCTTGCCGGTGGGCTAGTTTACATTTAATAATTATGCAGAATCACCGAAATTTCTGCGTTTAGTTTGCTAATTAGTATCCTCTTTGTTGTCGTTTTATTAATTGTTATTGCTTCATTTGCTTTTTCTCATCCGCTCTTCTCTCGTTCGTCGTCTTCATCACAGGCTATTCACACACCGCTGATTTGGATTCCATAAACTTCGCCGATTCGGTGGAAATGAATGTGGCTAAATTGAAAGTAGCGGCCTTTTTGCGTAGTGTTTTAAGGCGAAAAACAACAGCAACAAGCGAACTAGCCACCAAGAAGTAGGTTAGGAATAGGATACAGTGGTATAATATGTCTATAGCAATTAGAAACCTATTAAAATGTGTTGTTATTATTAACGGTTTATTATTAAGATCGTACATTTATTATGGATGATATGACCTCGAAAATTGTTGTAAAAAATATTTATACTTTTAACCAAAATTTTAGATCCTATGGGATTTTTTAGACATGTACATAATTTAGTGTTATGGTCAAGAATTTGGCTTTATTAAAGCTACTGCCGCGGCTGGCTGCAATAACTTCCAAACGAGAGGCCCAATTTTCTACCACTTTTTGGAGCAATTGGTCCGTACGTCAGCAATAACGCGTCAAATATTCTCTTGTCTCAATCGTCTCGGGCTTATCTGCGTGGACAAACGACTTCACATAACTTCACAAAACAAAGTCCAGCGGTGTTAAATCACACGATATTGGAGGCCACACCACAGTCCCACGCTGCGAAATGATGCGCTAACCAAAAGTTTTCTTCAATAAATTGATTGCTTCGTTAGCTGTTGGCATAAAGTACCGTATTATTAGAACCAAAGGTTGCCTACATTAATATTCAGGCACGAAAAAGTCATTAATCAAGGCTCTATAGCATTCCCCATTGACTGTAGCATTATGACCGGAATTGAAGAAATATGGACCAAAGATTCCTTCTACGCATAGAGCACACAAAATAGTGCTTTTTACCGAATGTAAACGGAATCTCAACAATGGCTTTTGGATTGTCATCACTCTAAATGCAACAATTTTGTTTATTTACGTACGCAATCAACCAAAATTACTGATCGTCTCGTTTTGGTCCCATTTACCAAACCTGCGATTAGCTTAATAATCGTGTGGCTTCAATTCTTGCACGAGTTAGATTCTGTAAGCCCGAAAACTAATATTCTCTCGCAAAATCCACCATAAAGTGGCGCGATGGCGGATGGACTTATTCCGATCTTCTTCGATATTGTTTTTAACAATAGAAGGAAATTCAGCTTTCTCTCTTTTAGGATGCATTTATTGTCGTTACTTATGCCCATCCGGCTCGCATGTGATGACAGTAGGTTATGACCTGTCACTAGACCAACAACCGTCCAGCAGTCCTTTGCACAGATATCCAGAAATTAAACCGCATCATTGTCTTTAGCAAAAAGCCGTAGAGAATCAAAATTTATTCATTGAAGAGAAAATTCAAACATTTTATGTTATTAATATTAATAAATATATATTAATATAAGAAAATATAGTAGAAACTTTAAAGGGCTGAAAAACAAATTTTACAAACTTCACACTACGTAAAATCGTAAATTCATTGTTGAAAAATTCTATAAGATTGTACAAATACTTATTTTGCGCAACATTTTTATAGCAAGAAAAGAAAATATTGAAAAAAAAAACGCCAAAAAGTTCAACAATAAACAAAAAACAAAAAACAATTTAATTTACACTTTTGCCAGCATATGCGTGCTCTACTTACATCTACATCGTTATTTTGTTGTTGTTATTTTTATACGCAGTACCCCCATTACTGGCAACCACATTGCGTTGCTACAATATGAGCCTGTGGCAATGTTGCACCATCTGGCACATCACACACAAACAAACTCAAACCAGTAACGGTATCTAGCTGCGAGTACGAAAGCAGTTGAGTTAACTGGCTGGTTGGCGGTTAATAACAGCAACAGCCGCAAGCCACAGTTACTGCACACACACACACATGCGTGCAATAAACATTCTCGTCAAGCAGACGGAAGGTAAGCATGGGAATGACAACAGCACTGATTATGGCAAGAGCAACATGTAGTCGCTGTTAAAAAGATTGCAACAAGGCATCAATAAATTAGTTTTTATGCGACGAGTATATGTGGCGTACATAAGGCAGCTTACAACACCAGCACATCAAATTACCTCGCCAGCGCCCATATTGTGCCCCAATCGAGAGGGAGATCCAGATGCAAATAGAGTTTTAGATATGAATGTAAATGGAAATGGAAATTTAGATATACATAAGCACCGTATGTGGAGTTAGCAATTTGAACGTTTCACTTTTCTGCTTGCTACATCGACTTAAGTACTACCTGCGGCAACCTGCCGCTTTCCTCCTTAACATGTTGTTTGTTGTTGTGACCTAGAAACTAAGTAAGTTATCGCTGCCAATATGTTTAAGTGGCTTTTATAATATTCACACCTCATAATTTACAAGTGCCTAACGACTTTTTGTAGCTATATATACTCGCCTCAATAATAATGTTACTCATACGCCGTGTGGTTGCATATTCCCATTACCACGGGTGCATTTACAGCGTAAAATAAAAGGCGCTGACACGTAAAAGTCTGCAGAACAAATATTATTTATGAAACGCAAAAATGTAGTAATTGTTGTAATATAACGGTAAAACGATTAAAAGAATTCTAAATATGTTTAAAAGCTACGTGAAAGGGAAATTGGTTATGATATAGTTCTCTAATATGAATGTCTGGTATACAATGTTTGGTATACCTACATATGAGGAAAAAATCAACCACAGAAACGAAACTCAATATATAAGGGATATCAGGTTTAGAGCAAATTCTAGAGCACTTTCATTCAATTTCAGCGTTAAATCATATTCTTTCCACCATATTTATATAATATACTCAAGAACATGTTTTCAAGCAATTTTATGAATATAACTCATATAAGTCTGGTGGAATCCATCAAAAAACAGCTTTATGTACTGAGGTCCACATATTCAGTATTTGGGAGCTTGAAAAGTTACTGTCGTCTGATATATCGTTAGACGTTGTTGTATTCCGATTTTACCTAGTTTCACGCTGTGATATAAACATATCTGGGTAATGTTAAGCAGTTAGCGAAATAGTTCTTGAGGTAGGACCATTGTCCCATTTGTAAACATATTCCGTACGACCTTAGCTGTGATATTTAATGGTTCTCACGTATTTATTTACGGATTTATCGAACTTTTAGAGGTTTTCTATATAAAGGTTATAGGTGGAGAGGGCTCCTTCCTCCTGCGATTTTCATAAACATTTACAGTTGTTTTTATCTAAATTTGTATTAAATGTGTAATTAGTGGACCATTTTGACCCATTTTTGCCACCAATCTATATTATTTGATCAGCATTTATTGGAATCATGCACGGTGAGTGTCAGTAAGCAATTATCTCATACTCCTCTGCCTATTCAAATGCAAGTAACTAATTTTTCAACTAGTTAAAACTCTTTTCAAGCCACCGTATTGTACCTCGATTTTGGTTCATTGCCACATATTTATATTTATTTTTTCGACCTTAAAATGTTCACTTTTAGAAAAGTAGAAGAGTTAAAAGTCCGACCACACCAAGCGGTCATTGGTGAAGTGGTTGCCACGTTCGTCATTGATCTAAAATACATAACATATAATAAAAATATACGAATGCATGTGTATGTAATAACTGCTAATAGATTAGTCAAAAATTGACGACAACAGCGAAAGCGCGAAAACCAGTGCCAACAATAACAAGAATAGTAAAGTGGCAAGTAGAGCGAACCAATAGGTGCGAGGCATGTGTCAACACTAATGAAACTAATTAAATTTGTTTAGAACAATTTTTTTACATTCCCAGCAAGCAACACGTTTCGGCATACAGATATAGAAGCATACCCCCACATAAGCATGCATATAAAAAATTGCAGCAGTCCATGAGTATTCATTAGTCTGCACTTGCAGTGTTGGCGGCGTCACGAAAATCATCGACTTTGCTGACCTTTTTTCTGCGCCGTTATTCCGCTGGCATTCAAACTCGATTACAATGAAAAACGCTTGTAATCGTACGATTGATTACTTTCAAATACGACTGAGAGTGGAAAGGAGAAAGTTTAAATTGACATTAATTTTCCGCAACAACAATACAACAGCAGATGAGTTGCGCATTGCAGGAACCATTTACTGGCTGGCGAATGTCGTTGCCAGGGGCCATTGGTAAGTGGAAATTTTCGAAGCCAATTTTATTTACTATTTGTTGTGTTAAAAAGGACATAAACTGTTTTAAATAGAACCAAAGAGAATGGAAAATTAAGTTAGAATAGTTACGTTACAATAGTTAGTTAATAGGACGTTTGGTCCTAAGCAATAGAAATGGACTCGGATTTGCATTTTCATCCATACGAAGTTGATATTGCATATGGGCGTAATCAGAGCATTGCCACGCCCACAAAAAAGCATTAAATGCAGACCTATAGATTTCTATGATTAAGCTCCAAATTAAGATAAAAACTTTAATTTGATGCAGGATATCTCAGTAGTGAGGAGCATCTGTGGTCTGAAACATTTTTAAAAGTGAGCACAACTCATTATATAATGGTTGTGGTGGAAACTACTTAAAGTGCGATAACTCACTAAATATGTGGTATAAGGCAGAAACATTAAGTTTCACAAATGAGTTGTAGGGTATAAATTGGAAAATCGCCGTTGCACCGCCAATTTTCAGATGAAATCTTATATCTCAGTAAGTTCTCTCTCAACCAAATTTTGTACGTAATACTATCTCCACATTATTATCTTGAAGTCTGTAAAAGGACTAAATCGGAATATAATCAAGTCTACTTTCCATTTATTTCCTTCATTTTACCGTATACAAATCAAAAACCAATAAAGTTATCAGATGAAAACTTAATACAAAATTTGCCCTTAAAATCTAACATCTGAAAATGGTCAACTAATCAATCTGCCAGATACCAAATATGACTGACTTTTTACCGAAAATAGTTGTCAATCCCTAAGATAAACAATGAAATCTAGTGAACGCCTTCTCCTGGTAATAATGTGTCCTGGTGCTAAAAATGGGTAAAATCGGGTATTTGGCTATCATAGACTAAGGATTTTCAAACTTCCGGTAAATATTTGAATCGCTCATTCATAGGTTATAAATTTTCTAGATCACGATTTCATGTCTACAAGAAAGTTCTGGAAAAGCTAAATTTCTTAATTTCTTCACTATCCAAAGTGATTAGTACAAATAAATACTTT